TGGGCTTGCCGCTGATATCTCCAGGGACTCTGCCGGCTGCTGGTTGTGGCCCCCCGGGGCGATCCTCTGTGCCTCTCGAGGGGGGCGGGGGCCTTTCTGGTTGCAGTCTCCTTGGGGTTCCTGCATTCTGGGGCAACGCCTGGATCTCTGGGACTTGGAGCTCCCCCCCCCCCCCCCCCGTCTCCTGCGCATCTTTGGGGGGCGGATCTGTGGTCCCTCACACTCTCTGTTGGACGCTCCTATAGAGAAACCTTAAATAAACAAGCGCGTGTACACACACAGGTGCTCACATGGTGCTCTCAAAAGTATGGGCTTGGGCACGTTCAACACATGTCTTAAGACTATGGTGGGCACTTAATGCATTGTGATTTATTATCGTGATTCTTCAGTTAAGCAATGTTGATTATATATATATATATATATATATATATATATATATATATATATATGTATTGTTTTTTTGTTTTTTTTTTCATCAAGTTGACGCAGTGATAGGTAGATCTTGTTGTATTGTTGTTGTGTCCCTTTTTTGTGTCCTTTTGTTTTTTTTTTTTTTGTCTATTTCTGCAGGTCTAGAAGCAGACTCTTGTTCATTGTTTATTTTTGTGGAACCCCCGCCCCTCTCTCCACCTTTTCTCTTCCTTTCTCTTTCACCTCTGTCTCCGTGTCTGGTCGGAATTACAAAGCATTTAACAACAATAACAATAAAGTTTTAAGTATCAGGCGTGACATTAAAAGCAAACGCTGTGATGCTCCACCTGAGAATAAATCTGTAAGGCTTGTCACCAGCATTCAGACATCAATTCTGCTTGCTTCACAGCCAGACAGGACACGGTAAAAAAAAAAAAAAAAAAAAAAAAAGAAAGAAAGAGAAAGGAAGAGACGGGGGGGGGGGGGGGGGGGGTCCACAAAAATAAACAGTCAAGGATGAACAAGAGTCTGCTTCTAGACCTGCAGAAAAGGATCACACAACAATACAACACGAGCAAGCTATCACTGCGTCAACTTGATGAAGAGCACTTATGAGAGCACCATGTGAGCATCTGTGTACGTACATGCTCTTGTTTATGTAAGGTTACTCTATAGGAGTGTCCAATAGAGAGTGTGAGGGGCCACAGATCTGCCCCCCAAAGATGTGTAGGAGATGGAGGGAGCTCCAAGTCTCAGAGATCCAGGAGCTGCCCCAGAGCACAGGGACCCAATGGAGACCGTGACCAGAAAAGCCCCTGCCCCCCTCGAGAAGCGCAGAGGATAGCCCCAGGGGTTCACAACCAGCAGTCGAGTCCCAGGAGACATCAGCGGCAAGCCCAAAGGCCCGCCCGCAACCTCCCACCCCCTAGCTGGCTGAGCCCGGGACCCAGCAACCCGGGACCCAGGGGTGACGACCCCTGCCGGGGGCCCAGCAGACCCCAGGGACCCAGATCCCACCAGGCAGCCACCGGGATTTATCAGGCAGACGCCAAAAATCTTAAATTCCCTGACCCGGGAGCCACAAACACTCAGGCAGACCAAAGCACCGCACTCCACACCAGGTGTGGCAGGGGAAGGGGTGACAAAGATGTATAGCATCAAAAGAAGTCCCAGGAGAAGGGAGAAGTCAAAGGTCCCACCTGACATCTAAGTCATACACAGACACAGTCACACACTCCCTCCCTCATGCTCACACATATCCATACAACCAAAGACTTACAAAAATGCACGCCAGAAACCCACTCATGCTCCCCATAAACACCCTATTCACTCTGGTCCCGGTACTGCTGCACAAGGGGTACAACCATTACCAGCTCCCATATTTCGGCCCTTTCTGCTGGGGTGTTGATGAGCAGGCTCTCCCGCCCAACGCTGAGCACAGGAACCCACCACCCCAGACCCCAACCGGATGGCCAGATTTCTCTCTTACCCTCCAGCCCCAGGAAGCCAAGTGACAACAGGGGTGTGCTTAGACCCCTAGTCTCCCTCCGCCTGCGCAAATATAGTGTTAGTGCGTGTTGATGAGGTGTATTCCATGGCTGTGGTGAGCATGCAGTGCGGGCATCGTCTGGCCTATGCCAGCTGATGCCACCACACCACCCCACTTGCACCCACAGCCCTCAGTGTCCAAGTGCAGTTTAAAATTGGAAGTGGGCACCGGCACTCGGGATGAGGCAGAAAAATCCCCTGCCAAATGCCGTTGAATGTGCTCACTCCCAAGTGCCTAAGTGTGTGTTTGCGTGAAATGTTGTTGGTGGAATTGTTTAAGGTGCAAATAAATTTGGGGGGCAGGTTGCCACAGGAATGCAGAAATGGAGTCCATACCCGCACCCCCTGACTTGTCCACCCCCCGAGGTCTTATGTGCATGTTTGTGTGATGATGTGAGGGAGCAGGAGGAGAAAAATGTGCGGGGATGGGGAGGAATAGCTGGTTGGACTTAAGCCCTCCAGGGAGCCAGCTCCCCCACTTGCCCCAATAGGCACCCCTGCTGCCAAAATGTCAACCAGGGTATGGAGACCCCAGCCCATCTTGCCAGTGTCCAAAGCAGTATCATCACAGAGCCTCACAGAGTCGGAGGGCACCAACCCAGCCCCACCCCAGCAGAATATCTACTCCCATCCCTACATTTGCACAACTTCCAGAACATATAAGACATAGGACATCCAGGTAAGGTTGGGTCCTCCCCCTCCTGGACTTCCCCCTCCCTTGTGATGGGACAGCAGAGGAGCCAAGTTCTACCTGAGACCCCTGAGCCCGGGCCAGGCACTGCAGCATGTTCCTGCCTTCTTCCCGGCAGCATACATGTCAGGACCTGACCCCAAGGCCCCGCCCAGATCCCCACATGGGGCCGGCCACCCCCACACCCCGAGCCCCTAGGCCTAGACCCGCCCAGGGGCAATGCAGCTGCCAGGCAGTGATCCATTGCCTCTGCCAAGACCCCCAAGTCCCCCAGTCCCAGACACCCCCAGTGAACCCACCTCCAGGGAACGTCCAGATACTCCAAACTCAGACCCTCCACCCCATCACCCACATCATCCTGCAGGACAATATCAATGATCCCCCGTCATCGCTATGTGATGGAACCGATCAAAGGATCCCAGAGAGATTGATTTGAAGTGGAAGCAGAGGCTATGTCAAGTGCAATATGATCTAACAAAAGACTTCTATACTGGTTAATGCAGAGAGTTTCTCTATTTTTCCAATTCAAGAGGATAGTTTTCTTAGCGATGCATATGGCAGTCAGAACCACGTGAACTAAAGATGATTCAATCGGGACATCGTCCAGGTTTCCCAGTAAAAAAAGAGAGGGGGTGGTTGGGATATGACATTTCAGAGACTTTGACAGGTCTTTACATACTCTACCCCAAAATTCCTGGACAGGTGGACAGGACCACAGTGCATGAATGTAATTGTCAGGAACGTTGTTTGTGCAGTGTGTACAGGTGTCAGACAACACAAACCCCATCCTGAACATCCGATGACCTGTATAGTGTACTCTGTGTAGAATTTTGTACTGAATTAATTGTAAATTGGAGTGTCTGATCATTTTAAAAGTTTTTAAACAAGTTTGGGACCAGAAGCCCTGGTCAAAGCTGACTGATAGATCCACCCCCCATTTTTCAATAGGGATTGCTATTCTATCGTCTATTTTGGACAGTGTCTTATAAACTTTAGACAGTAATTGGGTGGGGGGTGGGGGGGTGGGGGGGATTATAAAAGTCTAATACCCTTGGTGGTGTTTGTAATTCTACTTTATTTAGCTTAAATTTTTGTTTAACTACAGAATTAATTTGGTGATATTCTAAAAAGCTATTCTTATCTATTACAAATTGGGAGACTATTCTATTAAATGGGATGAAGTCCAATCCTTCATATATGTGTTCCAGGTATAGGATTCCTTTATTTTTCCAGTCCGGAAGGTTCATCATTTTGTTATTTTGCAAAATATCAGGATTATTCCAGATAGGTGTGCGTCTGCATGGTACTAGTGAAGACTCTGTCATTTTTAGATACTCCCACCATGCTGTCAGAGAGGTGCTGATACTAATACTTTTGAAGCCTTCAAGTTTTCTTATGCTTGAGCTAATAAATGGTAAGTCTGAAAGCTCTATCGTATTGCAAAGTGTCTGTTCTATATCCAACCAGGACTCATCTAGTGGGTTATCTTGCAACCATCTTGGTATATATTGCAACCTGTTGGCGAAGAAATATTAATAAAAGTTGGGTAGATCCAGTCCTCCTCTGTCTTTGGTCTTCTGAAGCATTTTTAAGCTAATTTGTGGAGGTTTATCCTGCCAAAGGAATTTGGTAATTGAAGAGTCCAGAGATCTAAACCAGTCAGCTGGTGATTTGTTTGGGATCATTGAAAATAAGTAATTTATTCCGGGTAAGACCATCATTTTAATTGTAGCAACCCTCCCCATGAGTGATATCGGTAAGGATTTCCATCTTGCAAGATCATCTTCCACTTTCTTTAAAAGTGGGATATAGTTTAGTTTGGTTAGATCTGCTAACTTGGGAGAGACATTAATTCCCAGGTATGTGATATTCCCTGACTCCAATTGTGTATTAAGTATATTGACAAAAGAGAAATTAATTGGTAGAACTGTGGATTTTAACCAGTTTATTGAGTAATCTGAAACTTTTGAAAAAGGGTTCAATTGCTTGGGAGAGAGAGGATTGAGAATTCCGGAGAAAGAGTAAAACATCGTCTGCATAGAGACTGATCAAAGACTGGATAAAGTTTGGAAGACCATGAGAAGTTAAGTTGACAGATAAAGACCTGTGGTACAGGATGGGCCTTTTATACAGGGATACACCTTAATAAAATGGGAATGGTTGGTTATATTAACGTCCTGTTTGTGGTACATTAGTATATGTGAGTGGGCAAACTTTTCAAGATGGGTGGTGACCATGGTGGCCATTTTGAAGTTGGCCACCTTGGATCCAACTTTTTTTTTTTTTCAATAGGAAGAGGGTCATGTGACACATCAAACTAATTAGGAATTTCACAAGAAAAACAATGGTGTGCTTGGTTGGAATGTAACTTTATTCTTTCATGAGTTATTTACAAGTTTCTGACAACTTATAAAATGTGTTCAATGTGCTGCCCATTGTATTGGATTGTCAGTGCAACCCTCTTCTCCCACTGTTCACACACTGACGGCAACACCACAGGAGAAATGCCAGCGCAGGCTTGCAGTATCCGTAGTTTCAGGTGTTGCACATCTCGTATCTTCACACCATAGACAATTGCCTTCAGATGACGGAAGACTAAGTATCTGTTATGGCTGTCCATGGAGGATGTAGAAGATACTAATATATTTGGGTTCCTGCTGTTTGGAACTGGTTGAGTACCTGTACCTGTACCTGTTCTGTCCTGGTTCTGCTGAACTGAACAGCAGCCTTTATACTGTTGACCATCACCTGCTACTGGAATGGTTCTCTTATCGGTCTGAGCGTTCCTTCTCTGTGGCCGTCTCCAGGTTTCGATCCTCCAACACAGTGAGGTTCTGTGCTGGGGCCACTACCTTTCCTCCTCTATCTGCTTCCTCTTCAGTACATGCTGAGCCTTTTAAATGAATCTCCTACCATCTTTATGCTGATGACATCCAACTGTACATCTCCTGTAAGCCCCATGAGATGCCCAAGCTGCAGCTGTTACACAGCAGGTAGTTTGAGTTCACCTCACACGCCATCAGGCTGTCTTAGATAACATGGTCATATGTAGTTTCATGAGTAAAATGACAATCTGTGTTTCTGTAAGATTTGTTTACAAAGCAGACATGTAGTTATGTTCATAAGAACTTAATGTACAAACTGAGGCAACACTGCCACCTTCAGGCACAATGCTGCAACATATAACACATTTATTATAACTTACACTTCATATGTTTATTTTTGAATTCATTCAGTAAATCAGTTAATCACTTATATTCACAAAGCCTGATTTGAGTTTTCTTTTTTCTATTACAGAGCCACTGAACAGGAATCCAGAAAAACGCTCCAGTTTTTTTTTTATGTAGAACCAGGTGAGAAGTTGAGCATCTCTTCTTGCCAGGTCGATATGGAATCGAGGGAAGCTGTGCTCTTGTTAAATGTCAACTCCTTAAACTTGCCGTCAGGTTCTCTACAGTCTGAGCCGTGATGAATAGGAGTGAGAATAAAGTTACAGATGTTGTAATCTGATACAGAAAGCAGAACAGTTATATTTGGAGGCTTTTGCAATAGTGGGATTTATTTCCACTGGTCTGGACATTCCAAAACGCAGCATTACAATACCTGTCTGAGTCAGAGTCACATGACAGGCACAGATCCTTCTGTAGGTCCTCCTCTGAGTGAAATCGCCGCAGCCCGTTGCCCTGAACTGCCTGGGCCACAGAAAAGCTGGTTTTCCCCGCAGCACAGGCCTCTATCCTGGACACACGGAGCTCTGACTGCAGGAAAAGATGCAGGCAGCTGTCAGAGAGCAGCAGAGGGCTCTGAAGGATCCTGGGAAAATTTGGGAGAACGCACACTATTGTTACTGTGTGTGGTATATTTTACTGCCAGTGGAAGTGGAAATGGGGTGTGGAGTTGGTGGAAACCAGTGCAAACCAGTTCAGAAAAGTACAGACTTTTACAAAATTTATATTTTCTTACTGTTCCAGAAATTTCTGGAGGCCCTTCATCCGGTCTGTTATCTGCTGAGCGTTGTTCAGGCTGAAGAAAGGGTTTTTGGGAGGCAGGTCTGGTAGCTTTATCCTAAAAAACACAGGAGGTGTGTTAGCAGAAGTGTTTCATACAGAAAACGTTATAATTAATCTAAATAACTTACATTAGCAATGCATTAGCCTGCAGTTTCTGCCTGAGCCATACAAACTCACTGTACCTCCGTCTCACACTGGAGATCTTCTTGGTGAAGCAAACGCTGTTGGTCTGTGACGAGTCACACAAGTGTCACACACATCTAACTTATCAGAGGTGGAATCTACCATTTTCATCGTTTTACTTACATGTAAACAGATCTCGTAGTCTATGTAGGCGTGCCAGAAATCATTCTTCTGTATTCGCGGGTCTCGCACCCACACACTGATGAGCTGCTGCATGGAGGAGGCAGGAGACACACTGAACTCAATCTAGCATGGAACAGCAAAAAGAGGAAGGCTTTTATTGGCAGATTGAGGAAGTGCGATGACCAAGACGATGAAAAAAAATCAGGATTGGAAAATCCAACAGTTCTTTCTTGCAAAGTACAGAAAACAAGAGAAAAACAAGAAGTGTTTAAGGCCAAATTACACTTAATTCTCAGAACTGAAGATTTTAAAGGCTAAACTCTAACCTGATCTGTGGTTTCTTCTCTCATAATTCAAAATGTCAACAGGTTGAAGCTTCAGAGACCTCTAACCAGTCGGATAATGTTTTAGTTCTGCACCCCTTTTTTCTCTCCATACCATCAAGGAGCAAAGGTCTCCAAACGAAGTCACAAGACTTAAGCCCTTCCCCGTAATGGTCACATAAATTTTATGAAGCAATTTGTTTCTGACGTGTCACTGTTTGGACGTGAGGCTTTAACATAAATGAGTTTTCAGTGGAATAAGAATGAAAAACAAAAAGTGTCCCAAAAAGGTTTCTTTTATTCACAGATTCATGGTCAACAGTTAACAGTAGTTCAGTAGGAGTGTGTTTTAGGGAGGTTCAAGGTTCAGCCGGGTGTCTCATGACAGTCAGGGGAGATATGTATTTACCCTGGTCAGGATCAAGTACAGCTGGATCATTAAAATCAGCGACAACATCCCTGTCTGACAACTAAAGTGCTACATTTAACAACCACCGACATTCATACAAGTGCACAAAGGTCACGGGTACAAACCCTACGGGTCTATTTTAGAAACAGTTGGACATTCACTTTGAGTAAAAGCATCAAATATTTGAGTTTATAATAAATGAAAAGACAGGTTGCTACAAGCAGCGGGTTAAATGCACAGGGATTTGTGTTTTACATTTAAATCAATGGCAGATTCATACAAAGGTACAGTAAAGGTTGCATCAAAGACCGGACACAGAGGAAAGAAGACTAAGTGTCTGGACTAAAGGTACAATGTCAAGAAAATACTATTTCTGGATTAAAATAGAAAGGTTGAGAGAAAAAAGTCAGAGGGTTTTTATTTTGAGATTAAGATGAGTTAAATCATAATCAGGTTATTAATAAAGAAATCTTTTTAGTGCAAAGCATCTGGACCTGAACTCCACCGGCACTGTTCTTTTAGGGCAGGCGTGGGCAACTCTGGTCCTCGAGTGCTGCTCTCCAGCATGTTTTAGTTGTTTCTCTGCTCCAACACACCTGACTTTAATCCGTAAGTGATTAACTGGCTTCTGTGGAGCTTGGTGAGCTCAGTCACTGAATTAGGTGTGTTGGAGCAGGGAAACAACTAAAATATGCTGCACACGGCCACTCGGGGACCAGGATTTAGATGAGTTTTACTTGACTCAGCTTCAGATGATATTTAGGCATGTGTGCATGTTTGGGACTTTTATTGTGAAAGATTACAGGAAGTTCATTGACTTCTACTTTGGGCGCTGCAGCAGAAGTAGCCAAAAGCCTGCAGCTTGCCTGACGTTTTTAGTTTACTCAGTAAAAACTCAGCTGTAACCCAGAAACAGAAACAAGTCAGGTTCAGGAACACTAAAGGATCCAAGTCCACTCGTTACTCCTGAAATCAACTACTAGTGAATTTATTTTTCCCAAAACAGTTAGGCTACTTCAACTCTTATTCTTGACATTTTCCTTAGTTTCTTTTCTGCAAGTGGCCCCAAGAGGTCGCTTCCATTACATCACCCACAATAGGTGGACGTTGTTTAGCTCTGAACAAAAGCTGACTCGCTCTGCTAACAGGAATCAAAAGCACACGCTCATCAGCTCACCGCTAAAAAGTTACAAAACTCTGTTACTCAAAATCTTAAAAACTAAACTCATCTACAGTGATTGAGTCTGCTAAGCCTAGGAATCTAGACCAACTGTCGCAGTAGCAACAAGATTTTGCTCTGCAGGCTGTAGGTATTAACACATAGGATGGCTATGAGTCTGCTACATATGACACAAGATAAACGCTGCAAGATGTTAATTTGACCTCAGATCAGCTGCTCTGAACTTAAGTTATCAGGATTTGTATTTGTTTCCATTGCCGTGCCCTCAAAGGCAAAGTGACCTTACGGAGCACTGCTTGGCTGATGACATTTCCACCCCCTCCACAGGATTTCACGCTTGCCGTTCTGAAACTCTACCTGCAGCGGGACGTGACTTCACGCTGGGCGCCTTTAATGTCAGCTGATGGAGGTTAAACTAAGCTTTAGGTGAAAGCGCAGCTGTTCATCCGTCATCATCCACGTCACAAACCCTCTCTCGTGTGTTTTCTACGGCTCCTCGTCTCCGCAGTGCCAGGTCAACTTTTGCTCGTAGAAGTCGATGACCACCTGGGGACACCTGAGACTCGCTTCACGAGCCGGCAGCAGGGCGACATCGTCGGAGTTCTTCCTGAGGATGAGCAGGATGCAAATCAATGAAAAATGTGGGAAACCTCTAAAATATTAAAGGGAAAATAAATTCTACTGATTTGAAGCCATTATTATTCCATTTATTTCCTTACATTTTAATGCAGAAGATTTTAGAGCAAGAAAAAAATGAAAAGAAAGTCTCTTTGTTAAATTGTAGTACGTGTGTCCAATTCCAGAGTGTTTGTTCAGGACTGACGGAGTCAGATCTGTGTTTACACTCCTCTGCTGGTTGTGGGTGTGTGTTGTTAATGTCGTCATCTTTCAAAGTCCGCTCACTCTTTGCACTCCTAAAAATAGGTTTACTATCAAAAGAGCACAGACTTCTTTAACCGTGACCTTGTTGGTGATTCGTCTGACCTCACTGATCTGACTTTTGAGCATCTGGCACATGTTGGGTTTGGCCTTGCTTGTAAAATATTCTCCATTTTTAAACTTGGATTCAACATCAAATTTTATCAGAATTTTAGGAGATCCGGGAAATATCCTAAACGCTGTCTTTGGGTGTTTAGTTTCATTTTTCAATTGTGAGGCTAAATCTCAATGTTAATTATTTCTTGGAATTTGCAGTTTGGACATTTAACGTTCACATCTTGTTTTCTCATTTTTAAAGATGATTATTTACTAGAGAAAATTCAGAAACTTGTGAAAGTTTGTTGCACTTGATCAGATTTTCCATCCATAAGTTTTTTTTAAATAAAAGTAAACATCTAGCAAATGCATGAAAGACAACCCCCTAAGGCGCTTTACAACACATTCACCCATTCACACACTCTGATGGTGATGAGCTACACTAGCCACAGCTGTCCTGGGAGGAACCGACAGGTGAGGCAACGTGGGAGAAGTGTCTTTCCCAAGGACCCAATGACTGTAACAGATGGGGCTCCAACCCGCAACCCTCCAGTTACGGGGCGGGCACTTGACTCCTCTGCCACCATTGCCAACATAATGAAGACTTTTTTGGATTACATTTGATATTTGATAGCATTTTAGAAGTGAGCAGTCTGAGTTTCTCAGTAAACAATTCTACAACGTACTGAAACTAATCATGCAAAAATAAAATAAATCCCATTAGGAAGCTAAGGGGACTTGACTTTTGTTTCCGACTTGGCTGGACTAAAGATAAATTAGAAATAATTCCAGTTCATTATGATTTGGCGTAAATGGAAGGTTTCATCTGGTCTCATTCTAGTCTGTGTTTTTATTTACAAAAAGCAGTAATTTTACTGGCAACTGGTCTGTTTATTTTATATGTACAATGCTCAGCGTAAGTGAGTACACCCCCTTAAAAAGTACAAATTTAATTAGCAGCTCAATGAACAAAAGAATAATTTCCAGAATGTTCACAAGGCCGGTTTTATTGAACACATGTTTAACTTTATAACATGACATTAAGGTTAATTATGTAACTTAGATCAAAGTCTTCAGATTTACTAAAACTTGTTGATGCAAAAATGAAAACACGCCACAACAAAAATTACCACATCTAGTGTTTTGTATGACCACCGTGATTTTCAAGGACAACACCAAGTCTTCTAGGCTTGGAATGAACAAGATGGCGACATATTGCAACATCTATATTTTTCCATTCTTCACAAGAAGGATGGAGAGCGATGTTCAACTTGCTGCTTCAGAATTCCTCACAAGTGTTGGATTGGGTTCAGATCAGGAGACATACTTGGACATTCAAGCATTATCACCCTGTTCTTCTTCAGGAATGCTACAGTAGCTTTAGATGTGTGTTTTGGATCATTGTTTTGTTGGAAAAGTGCACGGCGACCAATGCACAAGGTGAAGGCAGCATCTTCTATAGAGCAGTGCATTGTTGAGTTCATGATACCATCAATGAAATGCAGCTCCCCAACACCAGCAGCACTCATGCAGCCCCACATAAGGACACTGCCACCACCATGCGTCACTGTAGGCACCATGCATTTCTCTTTGAAATCCTCACATTTATGATGCCATACAGTTTGAAGCCATTAGTTCTAAGAACGGTGATCTTTGTCTCATCACTCCAGAGTGAATAGAGTTTCTTTCAGCATGGGCCCTGGCAAATCCTAGGCATGCTTTTTTGTGCATGGGGTTTAGGAGAGACCTCCTTCGTGGACTATACCCATGCATGCCATTCCTCTGCAAGTGTGAGCCGTATGATGTCACGGTCACTCCAGTTTAGCTTTCTACTGTTTTAGCTAACTGCAGTGAACTTGTATGGCTATTTTCTTCAACCCTTCTCAGGGTTTTCCTGTGTTAAAATTTGCGTGGCGGCCGCCTCCACCTAATTTAGTGCTGCCCCAGCCTGGTTTCACTCACCCCCCAGCTATATGGATGTGATTTTAACTGCAGTTACAGCATTGCACCACTACAGGGGCGCTGTATTAGCAGCGGTGCACCGAAAAGCGCTAAAACCGCTGCAGAAAAAGAAGATCAAAAATGGCTTTTCTCGCTAGTTTGTCCATATCTATGGTTGGTGCTATTGATGTCCTGAATTTCCCGCAGGCTCTTCCATATCAGACCAGGGCTGTACAGTGCGACGAAAACACTGTCTGTGCATGTCTGTCTGTTTTTAAACGTAGCACAGGTGCAACATCACAAAGGCAGAACTGGTCCAAAGTTTGGGATCAGAAGTGCAGCTACACATAGATTGGCTAATGCTAAAGCTAACGGGTAGCAGTCGCACAATCAAATGTCGCACAGAAAAATATATGATGATCGTAAACCTAAGAAAGACTAAGCTCTACAACAACAGGGGGGGGTCAGCGACCTCCCTATATCCCATCTTGGTTGGAGAGGTGCCTGACGGCAGTATATTCTAGCTTCAGCTTTGCTACGGTAAATGCCAAAATCCTCCCCAGGGTGCCGCAGCAAATCCCGTTTTGAAAACGCTCTGGTCCTGTAAAAACAGCTAATGAGGGAGAATCAGGGTCTCTCCTCCTTCTGAGGCTTGTAGCGAAAGAACGGTAACACTTACAGATAAAATGAAACCCATTCTGAAAAGCCGACAAAAATTCCTACTTTTTGAGTTATAATTTGTTTTGGTAGTCCAAACGGTCTGGGGGTAGTAAACAGTTGTTCACAGAAGATGTGAAGTTCAAAAGTGCAGAATTTTCAGCTTAGAGTGGTGGGAGACATTTTTTTAAATTGGAATTTTCTCAAACAAATGAACCGTACGACCACAATGTTTGGACTACAGTCATGAATTATAGCTCAAAACGAAGGTATATTCGTTAGCTGTAAGCCAGCGTGTGTCTTATTTCAATTGGACCTACGGTTCTCTCGGGACAACGCCAGAAATGGAGCAAGGGAGGGTCACTGCTCCTATCTTTTCCCATTATAACTTTTGTGAATTTTTCTGAAAATTTCAAGTCGTACCTCAACTTCTACCTGCGATTTTAGAAAAACCGTAAAAGATATCAAAAAGCCTCTTTAATATGTTTTAACAGGAAAGTCTTGTGAGTTTGTTAAACTTTGAATGAAGTCTCTAAGTTAAAAGGAACCCAATAGAGTTTTAGGTCAAAAAAGTGATAGGAATTTGCTGAAAATTGACCAATCCCAGTCATTTCAATGGGAGAATTTTCGCAGAAAAAGCTTAATAACTCAAAAAAATTTAAAGATATCAATGCCAAACGTAATAGCCGGAAAGAGCTTAATGAGTTGAATGTTTTGATATAAAATTGTTGAAATAGTTAAAAAATTGATGGAGTAGAAAAGGTTCAAAAAGTGTACGGAAGCAGAATCAGAAGAATAAAGATTAACAGGAAAACAATATTATACAATGTTTCTGTGCTTTGTGTGTCATGCATGAAATGCTGCTTTAAAACATGTTTCACTCGACTCTTTGCTGTGTGTGGTTGGTTTATTTCTTGGAAGTGTGTGATGAAATATGGATGTTTTTGTGTTAGTTTAGATAAGAACAAGATTCAGTGAAGGCTCAAACACTCCGCTTTTGTTTTGTCCTCTTGCCGGCTGGGATAAAAGAGGAAAGGGTAGAACTGGAGAAAAGTTGATTTTGTTGTATAAAACACTCTTTTGACTCTTTTCTGTCTGCAATGTTAAAAAGGTGTTTAGAAAATTGTAAAGTTTTTGAAAGGTGAATGCATTTAGGTATTTTTATTACATCTGCTTCTCCGTGAGAGGAACCTCCACAGCAGACTCTCAGTTCAGACTGAGAACAGCTCCACTGCAGAAGTGTAAGCCCCACCCACCAGCTGTGTGGCTTCGCTCTCCTTCTTACATACACACCATAGACTGTACATACACACAGACAGATACACACAGACAGAAGTACAGAAGCGATCCCGCCTCTGACTCCACCTCTGTGTGCGGATTGGTTGGTGAGCCATATAGGTGTAGAGAAACCCCTCCTTTTGGGCTGAGATTTCCTCACCACACACATGCTCTGCATTCAGGATTGGTTTATCTCTCTCTGAAGCAGCCCCCTCCAACATGAGGTTTCCCTGCAGCTACATGCTGAGCTGTTGAGAAGAAATAAATAAATATATGATTTAGATTTACTTATAAAACTTCCAGACATTAAATAATAAGTTTTTTCCTCCAACAATAAACAAAGCTCGTTAAACCAACTTTACTTTAGTATTAAATCAGAAAAAATTTGATTTGTAAAGAATTTATAATAAGAAAAAATGCTGAACGATTTGCGTAAACAAAGCAACAATAAATTCATCAAGAGTACAGCTATTATATATCAATCATAGGTTTCAACTTTCAATTTTTGTTCTACTTTCATGAGATTATAAATCAACAATCTAATTTACTAATTAGAGAAATACGTTTTTCTGAAATCTCAAAAAGTCGGTGATGCCGGTTGGGATTTTGTCGGTAAAAAAAC